AATTGCTCACACTATCTAAATAAATTATATGTCGTGGTGCTCACACTATCTAAAGGGTAAAAACATAAAAATGGATGAATATAAAGCCATCATTTTCAAAATAGCCAAATAGTCCACATTGTAGTTCACCACAAATGATATCATCAATGTTGTGTGCGAAAGCTCGAAATCCGAAGGGTTGATTTTTTGACAAATAAAGTACGACAAATAAAGCATGAAATACATACACAAGAACAAAAATATTTACGTGGTTCACCCCAAAAGTGCTACATCTACGAGCATGACAAAATGAAATCGACTATACCAATGAAAGTTACATTAAAGATTTTAGAACAAAGAGTTACATCTCTAAACTTCGACAAAAACCCAAACCGAGCAAATCCTTGTAGAACCACTCTCCCTTCATTATCTTTACTTCTAGCAACCATTACCAACAACACCAGATAGTGACATGAGACCAACAAAAAACTGACTTTCTCTCTAACTAAATGGGAAAAAAACCTAAAATCTCTATGGGAACCGTTTCTTTACAAGAAACAAACTTCTCAATCTTCAAGACCAAAGCTCTCAATTTCTAAGAGTCTACAAGATGCACCGTCACAATGTTTCTATCCATAAGAAGCTCTCTTCTCTAAAAGAGGAAACCATCTTTTCTCTCTAAGAGGAAACCTTCTATGGGAAGCTCTCTTCTCCTTAAGAAAAAACCTTGCATCTTATGCACAGGATGCCTTGTCCCCCCCTCTCTCTAGAAGAATTACCATTCCCAAATGGTGACTTAAATAAAGTATACAAATTCTCTACACTTTCATCCCATATATATAAAATTAGGAATCTATATTAAATAGAAAACTTCCTATTGATGTTGCATATATATCAAAAGATCAAGAGATATATTCAAGAGTCTTAATTCTATTGGATTTATATTTCCTTTAGGAAACTTCTTAACATTAATTTCAATCTCAATCCCACATAATATGGGAATATCTCAATCCCACATAATATAAGATTTATTTATATGGGTAATTTTGAATAGTATCAAATCCAACAATCTCCGCCTTGATATCAAAATCACATGCTCCTCAACATCCATTAGATAGCTTCATAAGTTCTTTATCTTTTGCCAAATAAATTTATTCATTATTCATGTTGAAAAATAGTGTTTACCAACAAATTTCTCCACCTTGAACCTTGCATTCGAAAACTTTATTGCTATACCAAAAGCCTTGAAACCAGGCTCTGATACCACTTGTTCTGTGCGGAAGCTCTAAACCTGACAGGTTAATTTTTTAGTAAATAAAGTATGAAATACATATACAAGAATACAAATATTTACGTGGTTCACCCCAGATTAGCTACATCCACGCATATGGCAAATTGAAATACACTATAACAATGAAATTTACATCAAAGATTTTGGAATAAAGAGTACATCTCTAAACCTTGACAAAAACATAAGTTGAGCAAACCCTTTTAAATCACTCTACATTCATTCTCTCAACCATTACCGACAACACCAGATAGAGATGCGAGACCAACGAGAAACTGATTTTCTCTCTAAGTAAAAAGTGAAACAATCAAAATCTCTATGGGAACCTCTTCTCTACAAAAAATAAGTCTCTCAACCTCCAGGAACAAACCTCTCAATTTCTAAGAGTCTACAAGAGACATCATCGCAATGTTTCTATCCATAGAAAGCTCTCTTATATCTAAGAGGAAACCCTCACTTCTCTCTAAGAGGAAACCTTTCATAGGAAACTCTCTTAACTCTAAGAGGAAACCTTGCATCTTATGCGCAAGATGCTTTAACCCCCTCTTTCTTTAGATGAACTATCATTTCCATATGGTGACCCAAATGGGGCACACAAATTATTTGCACTTTAATCTCATATATATATATAAGATTAGGAATCCATACTAAATAGGAAACTTCTTATTGATGTTATATGTATCTCAAAAGACCAAAAGATATATTCAAAAGTCTTAATTCTATTGGATTTCTATTTCTTTTAGAAAACTTATCTATATCAATTTCAATCTCAATCCCTCATAATATAGGAACATCTCAATCCCACATAATATGGGATTTCTTTATGTTGGTGATTTTGAATAGCATCAAATCCAACAATCTCTACCTTGATATCAAAATTGATAATCATGCAAGCATCCATTGGATAGCTTCATAAATTCTTTATATTTTACCAAATAAATTTATTCATCATTCTTGCTAAAAAATAGTGTTTGCCATCAAATTTCGCCACTTCGAACCTTTCATTCGAAACCTTTATTTCCATACTGAAAAACCTAAAACCAGACTCTGATATCACTTGTGCGTAGAAGCTCTAAATCCGAAAGGTTGAATTTTTGGTAAATAAAATACGAGAAATAAAGCATAAAACACATACACAATAACACAAATATTTACCTGGTTCACCCAAAAAGGGTTACATCCACGAGCATGGCAAACTGAAATCCATTATATTAATGAAAGTTACATCAAAGATTTTGGAACAAAGAGTTACCTCTCTAAACCTTGACAAAAACCCAAGTCGAGCATACCCTTTTAAACCACTCTTCATTCTTTCTCTTTATTTCAGGAACAAACCTCTTAATTTCTAAGAGTCTACAAGAGGCACTATCACAATGTTTCTATCATAAAAAGCTTTTTTCTCTCTATGAGAAAAGATCCATTCTCTATAAGATGAAACCTTCCATGAGAAGATATCTTCTCTCTAAGAGGAAACATTGCGTCTTATATACAGGAGGCATTGTCCCCCTCTCTCTCTCTCTCTCTCTC